CTTCTTTGAAGGCGCTTGAGAATCGAGTATCTTTCATTCTGAAGTCAAAACTTGACTCTAAAAGCTGTAAAAACGTGTATGCTAAAATGATAAATGTGATGCACCTAAGTATGTTTAAGATGCATGCAATATGAATTATGTGTTATCTTCTGGGTGGAGTCTCGTGCTTTATCTGTCAATCAGGTCCTTGGAATGGATCGTGCCCCATTTGCTTCCCGAGCTTTGGCTTTACAGACCTTTCATATCTGAGACTGTTCTGCTTGAAAATGTTTTTCTCTTTTTCTTGTTTTAGGAGAGAGACATGATGAAATTGTTGTAAAATATTGTTCACAATTGAATCAAATTGTAAATGTGAGTTCAAAAAATATCAAAGGAATCAAGAGCTCTTTTAATGCTTTCAGAGTTATAAATCTTTGACAAATGTTCAAATGGATGAGTTGGCTTTAGGTTGGCCTCCTTTCTAAGGTTTTGGTAACCCAAAATGTCATTTTTTTTAAAATATCGAAATATGCTTTGGCATTTCATTTGGGTGCGGACAAAATGACGCAACTAGAATGACCAATTACTAGAGATTTTATTTCGGTTCTCTGAAATCTTCCATTTGTTCAAGCTTTGTAGGCTCCTCCAACAAAGGCAGTGCAATAAATATCGGTCTAAAAATGAAATTCTTGAGTGCTCGTGTGTAGTCGACTATAACAGATGTTCCTTAACTCCCTTAGTCCAACATTACCGAAAATTTCTTGCTCAGATAAATTTGATTTAATTTTTCGTTATCCGGCAAGCTGGATCCATAAAGCCGGGGCGTTTAACCAATTGCTTTAGAGGGACCACTTAACATTATAATCAATTTCATCAAGTTCACTGAAGGGTTCATTTCATCACAGAGTCTTCAGCCTGACAAGAGCAGTGGAGCAAACACCGAATTGCCAAGTGTCCGAGCAATGTCATGGTTTGAACGTAATCTACTCATAAGACCAGGGCTTTCAAGTTTCCTCTATAACCAATTGCCTTAGTGGAATAGCTCAGCTTTAAGGATTTAATTTCTTAAGATTGTCAAGAAGAACCTGTTATAGCTTAGGTGTTTGTTGAAAGTCAAAAATTTCCTCTTTAGAGTTCAATTTTCAAGCAACTGACCTAAACTAGATTCACATACTCGACTCTTTCATTTGTAAAGATCATCATCGTCATTGAACATCTTAAATAAAAAACATAGTAATTGTCATATGCAAATGATGTCCCATGTTGTCCGTACCTTATGAAAGGAAAATGTTGTATTAGTTAATTGTAAGAGCAGGGTACGGTGTTTGAGGGTATATTTTGGGTAAGGTCAAGGTCCTTGTTTTAAAACATGTTACTTTGTCAAAGATCCGTAACTTTGAACCATTCACAGAGTTTCTTAATTCAAATGATATTCAAAGAATTGCAAGTTTGCAAATGTGATCCATTGCTTAACATCTTTAAAGTAACATAAATTTATTTAAAAGTCCTTATAAAAACTTGAGAAAAAAATGAAAAAACAAATTCAAACAAAATGTCTCAAATGATGAAATGGTCTTCCTCACTTGGATGCCCCCAAGTTGTTGAAGTCGATCCGATTCTTGTTACATATTTTCTGTATGATTCTCTTGATTGTGGAGTAATTCTCGATAGTGTGCCCTGGGACTCCGCTGCAATGAGCGTTCTCATCATACTACCTGGGGTATGGGGCTTCATGGATTTCTCTGGATATGGTGACACCACATGTGCGTCGAACAACTGTTGGTAAAGCTCCTTATATGTCATAGGGTCGAAGTGTTCTCATTTTTTGATGAATCATGTGAAGATAGTTAATGTGAATGTAAAGAAATGAACAAAATGCAAAATGTTTAAATGCATGAAGCATGAAATGTCCGAGGCATTGATCCGAAAAATGTGCCTATTATTCTGAATAATCCTTATTAGGGACAAAAATGTTACGTCTGAAGAGACAAAAAACTTTTTGATGGTATAGATCCCGCACAGCCTCTGGCAAGTTGATTCGTCTTCCGCTTCTTCACCGGTTGAATATCCTGTCGAACCGTTCCAGCTCCTTTGGCTAAACTTGTGCGGGTGACGAGTTGCTTGCCCCAAAAAAGGTCTTGAATGACTGCATCTCCGGCCTTCACTCTATGCCGAGCTCGTTCCAAACGAAAGTGTCTTTGGAGCCTTCCATCCGAAGTTTGTCGACTTGTTTTTGGAATTCATCAATAATGGTCTCTAGCTTGGCTAGGGTTTCACCATCTTATTCTCGTAATTTTCGAAAGGATTCTCCGGGTCAATAACCATTTCCTCGTCTTGCCCCTGCAACCTTTGCCTCTAAGTATTCTTTAATCCCGGTTGGACTTCTGAGCTTTTTATCTCGTTGTATTATAACCCCTTTGTCCATTAATGTAGACTATTTACGTTTAACAAACACATTTTTGGTGGATCAACACCTCGTTTTAATGATGCGAATGATCAAAAAAAATGCAAAAAAACAGAAAATGAAAGGAGAAAAAAAAGTTAGTGAGATAAGGATAATAAAAAAATGAAAATGAAAATGAAAAGTCCTACCCCACATGATATCTACCCCACATGCTTATTATTCCTACCCGGACATGATCTCTATCCCGCATGTTGATTTTGAACAAGTCCTAACCGCATAAATTTCTAGTTCACATGCTTTGAACAGAAAGTAAAGCAGGAAATAATTCCAGCATCCTAGGGTTTGAAATGAGGTTTTGGGGTGGGCTCTAACTCCTTCAAAGTCTCCCAGTTTAGGTTCTAAAACACGGTACCCGAGTTCTCCTTGCTGGTGCCCCCTTGGGCTTACCAGACCCTTAGTCCTAAACCCATCACAGGCTTGTGTAGACTAAGTTAAACTCGAGAGGAAACATTCCCTTATGCCCACACGGTGAATAAATTCACACGAAGACATAAGGTATATGAATCCCGAAGGCTACTTGCTAGGCATATGCGGTGAATAAATTCACACGAATGCGTCGCTTTCACCCCCACTTAAAACGGGTTTGGAGCTCGGGTTTAGAGCTTAGAGATGATAATTTTGAAAAAAATCTGAAATCATTAAAAAACATCAGTACAACTATTTATTTGAAACAAAATAATCAAAGATAAATAATTGGAATCGAATAAATAAATTAAAATTAAAATTTAACATTTTCACATAAAAAAAAAACAACCAAAAATTAATTTCGGCCTGACTCACTTACCTGGTCCCCAGCGGAGTCGCCAAGCTGTCGCAACCGTCTTTCGGGTTGGGTCCCGAAATTGGGCATCGACTTGAAAAAATGTGGATTGGAGTCGCCACCGACCATTTTAAAACGAACTTAGGTGGGTCGGACACCATCTTTCCTGATCTGCGTTGTACTAGAAACGTGTCGGGTTCGGGAGTCGGTTACGGTTAAGGAAGGATTAACACCCTTGTACCGCCCTTTCGGTACCAATTAATTCGCCGGTTGTTTTAATAGTGAAAATTAAAATTATAATTATAATTTAAAATATTCGATTCAAATTACTTACTGTTGATGGGTTGAAAGTACTACTAAAAAAGGTTAAAAATATGTTAGATGGTATAATAAAAGAAATATTAAATGAAAATTAATTAAATAAATAAAACAAATAAATCAAAGAAGGAGAATGTAATGCAGCAGTAACTCATCCACTAAACATCTATTAAGTCCATGAATTTCCTTGTAATCCCAAAAATGTGTATAACATTTTATCCAGTGGATTTCTTGTTGGTCACCACATGTCCAAATTGCCAAACAGAGAAAACACCTATTCTTCTACCGAGAGATCCACGCGTCAGATGCTTTAAGATCCAGCAATTTTAAGTACTCAATTGTTCTATCAAGTATTAATATCATTTTAGACCTACCATGCATGTAAAATAATAAGAAGCAAAACATACCTACGAAGCATTCAAACCAATAGATGTTCTCAATTGCATCCTTGAATTGTTTGATCATTGCTTCATCAAGTTCCAGTTGACAAATGACACCTTTGTCCACATCCTTTTTGGAATGTTCATGGAAATGTTGCATTATCTGAGCTAACAACGGTGCTCTCTACATGTTTGATTTTACGCCTCAAAGAGTTTCATTTGTTGTTACTGCCATAACCTTCCCTTGAAAGAGTCTCTAGAGCGACCATGTTGCTATCTATCTCTTGTCGAAGCGACAATGTCCTCAGCTCCAACTTCTTTCTCTTTTCCTTGGCTTTATCCTTAAATGTCGAGTGAGTCGAAGCCAAACCAACAACGCACAGTCCATTCGGATGTCGATAAACCTACTGGTCGTTCCCTGGTTTCTTTTGGCTTAACTTTCTGAACTCAATCGTCAGGGACAATCTCGGCAGTAGCAACATGAAGGCGAAGAACTTTCGATAACGTTCAAACCCATTTAGTCTTTGTTGAAGTAATAGCCGATGGCTTCACCGCTTTCATCTCAACTTTTCCAATGATAAATGTTCATCACAAACGAGATGCGGAGAATCTAAACGAGGCGGGTACAAGAATAATTGTGGAGTTGGATGCTAAAGGGGTGGGTCGACACCTTGAACGTTGAACCGCCTGAGAAGCAAGCTGGAAATGTACTTGCAACTATACTGCAAGAGAATGTCAAACGCAAAACGGCCGCCACTTTTTAGTACGATTATTTAGAATCTTTGGAGGCGTCGGGATTTCCGCATCTTTGAGCTATATCCCCCCTCCCCCGTCAATCTCAAGTTTTCTTTAAATAAATAGCAAGGCCCCTTATCTGATGAAGCTCTCCACTTTCCTTTTGAGAGGAAAAAAAAGTAAGAAAACGTGCGAAGTGGGTGATCAAAGTGAGAGTAGTGGAGGTTGTTGGGTGTTTGAGTGGGTGAGGTAATGGTAGATAGTGGGGCTTGCAAAAAAAATAAAATTAAAAATATTAATAATAATAACAATAAATAATGTATATATATATAAGTCCGGTCAAAAACGGGTGTCTACAATATGGTACTCGAATTAAAGTCCTGAAAAAATTATTTTGAGTTTATTTAATTCATACTCAATTATTTAAATAATGAGAGGAAACAAGAGGTTGATCAAACTTGATATATATGATTGCAACATTGTTACAAAACATTAGTTTAAGATTGAATTAGGTCAAGTAAGTTATCCTGGAACAACCGCCTGAACCATAAGAAATGAATGCTCTCGGAGGGATGGAACGGGTCGAAGAACACATGACTTTTTCTGTCGGCGCAAGGAACACTGCTCGGGAGGCACGTACGCGATTGATCCCCCGCTACATCGATGCAACACGAATCATTTATGTTCGTGAATCCTACATTCAGCGACATAGGTATAGTTTTATATTGAAGATTAAATTTATTGAACTTTAACGGGAGGAAATAAATTATTGTTTGGGCATGCATGCATTGCTTACCGTATGTTGCGGGCTGAGCAAGAACGTCTTCAAACAATTTGTACATGTCAAACAGCACGAATGTGGATCCTTTCAAGGACTTGTTGAGTTTTCTCAGAATCTTATGGAGGCGTCCATTGAATAAAGCTGCTCTTTCATTCATATCTTCCAAAAATGAAGTGTCGTTCGTTTTTTGGTGAAGATTTACAGGCTGACAGCCGAATGGAAATGCGTTGTTCACAACGAATTTCCTTGCTCCTAGCTCATACATAGCCTGCATGAGAATCAAACATCGATCTTCGGAACTTAATCGAGGAAATTTTAAGAGAGTGATTTACCTCTAATCGACTGTATAACTCGTTCGATAAGAGCAGAGTGTATTTCTTCACGGAAAATAACTCTTCGTGTAACTTTCCTAATTCCCGGTACAAGGCAAGGTCATTGCCCCCTATATGGACGAAGAACAATGAACTAGACATGTAGGAATCGAAACTTTCGAGGCTATGGAATTGACCCTTCAAGTTCGAAACTGTGTGATTGAACAATTGTATCTGTTCATCGAAGCTCAAAACATGTCCCTGATGGAGCATTCAAATGAAAACGTCAATTAAACATGTACAGAAAAGGTGAATCTTGATGCCAAATGGAACAGAAAACTCACAAATATCGGTGCTAGAGACGAAGGCAAAGGCAATATCCCACCAGAAGAGGAACCATAATTTAAACCGGTAGTGATCTTCCTCTGGGATCCAGATAATCCCATAACAGGAGGAGGAAACGGCAAACCAACAACTTGAGCTGCAGGTAAAAAGAAATTAGATTAAAAAACAAGCATGGAAACACAGAAGATGTATAGCTAGCCGGTTCGTACCGATGAAATCGACGACGGTTCTTCCGTTAGTGGGACGTCCGGTCGCGACGCCTCCGAAATCGATTCCGTAGGGTGCGTAGTTGGCTTTGGATGTTGTGTCCAGATAGTTATTGTTACCGGCATCGATAAATGAATCTCCGAAGACATAAAGAGCTGGTAGATTGATTGAACGATAGTCTAAACCCAGATATCTGCAGATTTCAGCCTGTGGGATGTTGAATGGCGGTACTGGCAACGGTGGTAGACGCTTGGAATCAGTATGAAATGAACCCAGGGGAAGAAGAAACAGGGCAAGAAAACAAAGAGAAACATAATTCATTGTATCCTTGAAGGAGAGGAGAAGAAGATACTTGTAATGTAGGGTGCTGTGTTGTGTTTCTCCATTGCATAACTCACGTTGTTTATATACACGTTCCTAGAGATGATAACATCCGTGAAGGGTAAAATACACTCCAGTTCACTTAATTATGAACTCGGTAATAAATCGTTCACTTTTTTTCTAAACATTATATCGTTCATATCACTAAACTTTTAATTTTATTAATTATAATATTAAAATTTGATTTTTATTTCAATTATACAAGTGAGCTATTAAATTGTTAATAATCATATCATAACTACATCGTTTCAGTGACGTTTCTAGGTCATTGTGCCATTTATTATTTAATAGTTCAGTGATATAATTGAAATAAAAATAAAAAATTTAATATTATAGTTAGTAAAATTAAAAGTTAAACAGTATAGATGATACAACGTCTAAAGTTTAATAGTATCCGATGTAATTTACCCTAAAAATATTATTATTTTTATAACCTAATATTTAAAAATAAAAAAGAGAGACACGCGTATAAGATGACAATTTGTAAACCACCACTGCAAATTGAAAATACAAAGGCCGACACTTTTGACATTTGCTCCATCGTAAGGCCATTAATCAGACACGTAATATGCATGTTTCTTACAACTTTGTAATTTTTTTTTATTAAGAAAAAACCTTATAACACCCAATCATACGTAAAAGATACATCAATCACGCGATCCAGGTCAAGCTTTTCTTATTCCACCATTTCTCCGCGTCTTTCCACTTGTAGGTCTCTTATAGGACAGCCTAATTTATGGCTAAAAAACAACAGTAAATAAATACGATAAACATATTATAAAAATTATAATATTTTAAGTTGAGTAAAATTTAAAATTTATTTTTTTAATATTTTTATTCAATCGAAAATATTATGAAAAACATAATATTTTCTTTTGTTATCAATCGAATATGTTATTAAAAATGTTTTCAACTGAAAGAAAAAATCTTGACATTTTAAGTTACGTACAACCTAAAATGTTATGATTTTTATAATATTTTTCGTGCGCCTTTCTTTAGTCTTAAATTAAGTTGTCTCTCTTTAGGCTTCCCTTTCTTATACAAATAATATCATATTAATACTAATTTAATGATTAAATTATAACAAAATATAATAATACACAATCTATTTAATTTAATTTAATTAATATTATTATTAATAGAATATAAAAAACATAAAATTACATAGATTTAAAATATAATATTTTCTATAATAAAAAATATTTTTTTAATTACCTATGTAAAAAAAAGCTTAATGGGGGAAATAAGTGCCCAAATTATATTTTTTGTGTCGAATAGGTGCCTACATTATTTTTTAGCCAATCCAGATGCCCAAAATTACAAAATGTTATCACTTTAGATGTCTGAGTCGTCAACGCCGTTAGTTTTACTGTTAAGTGACACATGTCACAATCTGATAATTTTAAAATATATTTTTAGTTTTTTTTAATATTATATTTATAAAAAATACGTAACTTTCCTTATATTATAAAACAGTCCCAAAATCCCAAATCCTAACTTTAATCTGCTACTGGCGCCCTTTCCAACCACTAACACTGCAGCCGGCGTAGTCATTGTCGTCATCCTAGTTATATGTCGTTGTAGTTGTCGTCGGTTCATTTTCGTAATCACGTGGGATTGCGATTTTCACCCAAGGGTTCGTGAGATTTAAAATGTTGATTTTTCGTCGATCGGGTTGTCAACTGGTCACGATTTCATAGGGATTTTGGTCACTAGGGGAAGAGGAGGTTGGGTGGAGCTTCTTTGACGGCAAAGGACAACGGTCGACATGGGTATAGGGGTTTAAATTAAGGTTTTAAAGTTTAGGGGTTATTTGTAAAATTTATATGTTTTCTTTTTTTAAAATTACCAAATTATGACACGTGTCACTTAACTGGAAAGTTAACGCTGTTAACAGCCCGTATACTTAAAGGGGTAACGTTAGACACCAGGATAGGCAAAAAAAATAATGTAGGCACCTATTTAACACAAGAAATATAGTTTGGGCACTTATTTGAAAATTAAGCCGGAAAAATACTAAATGGAATCTAATTTAAACTCTAATACTAAGATCTAATAAGGACATAATGGGTCGGGTCCACTCGAAAACAATGGCTCATTCATTTGGCTTGGTGGCCGGCTGGTTGCTAAAATTCCGTGCTGACAGCTCACCGACAACCGTACAATTTACGGAACTACAGTCGGGTCCGCCATTTCCACGACAGCAGATACACGGCGTCGTTTCGAGCAGCCTAACACTATATAAAATCTTTCTTTTGCTTCTTTCCCAATTCAGCGGCTAACAATTCAAAGAAACTGCTACTGATTGTTCCTTTCTTTCTTTTAAAGAAACAAATTTTCTCCATTTTTAAACATCGAGTCTCATCGTCTCCCTTCTTTCGTTTGAGTCAAAAACCTTTATAATCGAAATATTTTGCATTTAAAGTTTCTGCAGGAAAAAAAGGAAGAAAAAACAGTCTGGGTACTTTTGTTTTTCTTTCCTTCTTTCTGGTTTTTTAATTTTGATTTCGTGTCATTGAGAATCAATCGACAACTATGGTGTTCGAAAAGCAACCGATCGCGTCTTCATCGTCGAATAACCTCAAGTCTCCTTTGCCGAGAGAAGACACGCCTCTTATCGGTAAAGGGAAGCCTTTGTCGTCGAAATCCAAGACTTTTGCCAATGTTTTGATAGCCATAGTTGGTGCTGGGGTTTTGGGTTTGCCTTACGCCTTCAAGAGGACCGGATGGGCCATGGGTCTGCTCTTGCTTTTCTCCGTCGCAGGCTTGAGCACCTACTGCATGATGCTTTTGATTCACACCCGCCGGAAGCTCGAGTCTTTTGAAAATGGTTTTGCCAAGATTTCTTCTTTTGGCGATCTGGGTTACGCTGTTTGCGGCGCCTTCGGCAGGTTCGTTCTTGTTTTGGCTAGGTTTCTCGATTCTGTCTAGCTTTTGGGGTAAATTTCTTTTGAGATGTGAAACACTAAATTGATAATTAAATTGGGTTTAGGTACTAAAAGTAAGTTCCTGTTGGCATCTTAGGCTGTTGTTGATTATGTTATTTGGTAGATCAATGAAGTTTCTGCTTTATTGTTCTTGCCTGAGCCGAGGCTTTAGACTGTGTTCTTGTGGAAATTGTGATTAATTTGGCTAATTTTATGATTAAGAAACACAAATGACTTGTATGGTTTTCTAATTATCGGTTCCTCTTTCAACAGTTAAAACTAAAAAATGAACGACTGAATTCTTGTTGATCTATGCCTTATTCACCTGGGAAGTGGGAACCAGATTTAATAATCTTCCAACGAGGAACTGATTTTGTTTAATAATGGATCGACAGGTTTGTTGTCGACGTTCTTATTGTTCTCTCTCAAGCTGGATTCTGTGTTGGGTACCTTATATTCATCGCCAACACTCTGACCAATCTTTTCAACGGTCAAGTATCCGTGGCTTCGAGCTTAAGCTTGGGGATGTCGAGTTTTACGGCGAAGAGTTTGTATGTATGGGGATGTTTTCCTTTTCAATTGGGATTGAATTCTGTTCCGACTTTAACTCATTTAGCTCCATTGAGTATTTTTGCCGATGTCGTTGATCTTGGGGCAATAGCAGTGGTGTTGGTTGAGGATGTGCAACTTATGTTGAAGCGAAGCCATGAGGTTATCGCTTTCGGGGGTCTCTCCGTTTTCTTCTATGGCATGGGTGTGGCTGTATATTCTTTTGAAGGGATGGGTATGGTTTTTCCGATAGAATCCGAGATGAAGGATGCCACCAAGTTTGGCAAGATATTGGCACTTAGCATGGGTTTGATTTCTTTGATATATGGAGCATTCGGAGCGCTTGGTTATCTTGCGTTCGGTGCCGAAACCAAAGACATTATTACTGCCAACTTGGGGGCAGGTTGGATCAGCACTATGGTTCAGCTAGGCCTGTGCATCAACTTGTTCTTTACTTTCCCGTTGATGATGAACCCTGTTTATGAGATTGTAGAGAGGCGGTTTTGGGGAGGATGCTACTGCTTGTGGCTTAGATGGCTGCTGGTTTTGATTGTAAGTCTGGTAGCTTTGTTCATCCCGAATTTCGCCGATTTCTTGTCTTTGGTCGGAAGCAGCGTGTGCTGCAGCTTGGGGTTCGTATTGCCAGCTCTGTTTCATTTACTGGTGTTCAAGGAAGAGCTCGGGTGGAAAGGATGGACCGTGGACGTTGGGATCGTGACCTTGGGCATTGTTCTTGGAGTTTCGGGAACTTGGTCAGCTCTCGTGGAGATTTTCTCCGTCAAGGTGTAGTGGTACATCGGCCTTTAGTCCGCTTTCATGGAGGTTTTTTATCCGTGAAGGCGTGCAAGTGCAGTGTCGAAATGGAGGTGATGTTTTGAGCTTCTTCTCGATATACTGCCTGCTTATTTTCTTTAATCATGTATGTAAAGGACCGGCAATTCGACGCAAGTGTGAGTCGTCGATAGCCTAGTGTGGGACATTACTTGTGCTATTATCAGTTTATCACCATTACCTATTACATACGCTGTATGATATTACAACATCTATGTGCAATGCAGCTATTCAAGTTGCTTTCAAGATTGATACTTTGTTTTACCTAAAAGTCATCCCTTTTCGGTATTCAACGTTGCAAGCTATTTATTTATATAAAAAAAACGTCGCAAGCTATTTATAAACGTAATTACTTAGATATAATTATTCAAAGTCGAGATCCTTACAACAAAAATATTCTCTTTTACTGTTTAAATCATTTAATAATTTCTCTATTTCAAAAATATTTTAAATTCAGATGATTTTGATTACTCTCATCTTTAAAAACCCAAGAGAGGTTGAGTATCAGCGACAGTGTGTGTGCCTACATTTTCATTTGCAGCTGTCTTGATTCAACCCGCTTTGATAGGGTCTAATTTTTTTTAAAAAAAAATCGAATTTGAGTCAGGTCAATTTGTAAGGATAGAGTCGGAAGGGGTTGAGTTCGGATAGAAGGTGAAAAAACTATGACTTTACCCGACCCGAGAATAATAATATAATTTTCTTAAAAATATTATTATTATTTTTAATTAAATCGTTATTTTTTATCCTATTGATTCATATTTATACTCTAAAAATTTTACGGAACAGGCGGCGGCGGAGAGTATATCGGTCAAGTTATGAGAGATGGGAAAGGGAAGACTTGAATGGCAATAACGGAAGGAAATTTTTGGTGCAATGGGTATGGAACCCTGCTATCAAAGCTTGTGCTGGTCCCAATGCCATGGATTAATTTTCCTTTTAAAAAAAAAAAAATCAAGTTCTTCTCTTAAGAATGTTGATTTTTTAAAAACATTTTAATTGGTTTTTAGGGGGAAATAATAGTGTTATTCATACGTACTATTGGACCATGGTGTAGATTATACGTTTTCATTAAAATATTTTTCTATTAATAATATAATCTAGGATAAAATAAAAATGTATTAATGGGTTGAAATGAAAAATATAAAATTAAGATAAATTTAAGGAACTTCTAAAATTAAGACAAGAAGCTCGTCCTGTACTGGACGTTGGAATTACGACAAGTACAACAGTTTGGGATGCTATTAGATTAAAGAAAGCTATTGTCTCCTGGCAGAAAATTATCTGGTTTCCCATGCACATTCCTAAGCATAGTTTAATCTCTTGGATGACTTTGCTTGATAGACTTCCTACAAGAGAAAGACTCAACCGTATGGGACTAATCACTGACTGCAAATGTATTTTCTGTGATGATCCTTTGGAAACAAGGGATCATATTTTTCTGCTCTGTACTATGGCTACATCAATCTGGAAAAATATTTTTTCCCTCTCAGGACTTCACTTCTACCCTTGTCCGTGGGACACTTTTTGTGCAAGGGCTTCCACTACTTGGAAAGGCAAATCAATGCTAACTCTAATTTTGAAGCTATCTTTTAATACCACTATCTACTTACCGTGGGAAGAAAGAAACAGGCGAATGTTCCAGGGTAGATCCAAGAATGCTCAATAATTATTCCATGACATCAGAGATATAATTGGACTGCACTTAAGCAATAGAAAATTCAATAGCAATGATAATGTTAATATTACTCTTTTTAGGAATTGGAATATAGGGTGATATTTGTTTTTGTGTTGTTGATCACCGCTACTTAGCCCTGATTCTTTTGTATCTTGTTGCTGTACAGGTTGATTTTGGGTAATAAAATTTTAATTATTCAAAAAAAAATTAAGATAAATAACAAACTCTTTTCCTGAAAATATCAGCTGTAATACTTCTGTCTTTGGTCACAATAATATATATTTTATTTTTTATTTATATTGATTTAGAATTATTAAATGAGTGAAAATCTATGTATAAGATTAACAGTAAAAAATGAGAAAATATTTATTAAAATAAAATAAAATAAAGAGTTAATCATATTCATTTATTTTTATTTATCTGTAGATTTTAAGTCTGTATAAAATTAAATAATTTTATGTATAAATCTACAGACTTAAAATCTACAGATAAATAAAAATAAATGAATATAATTAACTCTTTATTTTTTTAATGAATATCTTCTCATTTTTACGTAAAATTATTTTTCTTCACTTGCCCTAATTTTACGTTAAATTATTTAATTTTATACAGACTTAAAATCTACAGACTTAAATGAAAGAGAGTATAACAGTCATTGTCGACGGGGCAAGTGAGTGGTGGAAACCCCTAAAAAGCCAAAACTTTAATCTAATCATCTGTGATCCACAACTCGAATTGGACGCTTTCTTTTTTTTTATTAGCCCTCATACAAATAGTATACATAGGATTGATTTACATTATGGGACTTCCTACCCCTAGACTTTATCCTCATAGGGACACGGATGAGAAATATAAATTAGGGTAAAAAAAATGGCTGTCCCTTGTTCCCATATGTAATGGGGTAAGAGGGAGGTAAGATAGTAGGCTGCCCCCAACACTAGGTTGAGAGCAACTTCCGTAGGAGACCTCCAAATTATGAAATGCCTTCCATAGGACTCGATCCCACGACCTCCAAAATTAGGGTAAGTTATGTATTTAATACTTAAATTATCATTTTTGATATGTTTTAGTATTTAATTTTTTTTCTTTCAAAATCATATTTTTTTTGGATAAGTAAGATTTAATTATCCAATAATAAAGTTCAACAAACAACAAATATCCCAAGAGGGAGAAAGAAACCCCTATTTACAACCAAAAAAAAAAACTTAATCAAGACCCCAATAGTCACAAAGATTAGAGTTTACATTATCAGATCTATTGATATCTTTACCACTAAGTTGAATATGAACAAGCTCTTTGACAGATTGGAGGATTTGGTCTGTTGTTTTTGAACCACTTTTGAAAATCCTTATGTTTCTTTCCTCCCAAATCAAGTAGTTAAAAGCATTCCAAACAATTCTTAGAATGATGGAAAGTAAGGATTTCCCCTTCCATTTTTGAACGGCACCATCAATTCTTGAATCCCAAGTACTGTAATTATCACGTATGCTGGAAAGGATCATGATAGAGCTCCAGATCGAAGACGCATAAGAACAGTAAAAAAATAAGTGATTTCTGGATTCAAGTTCTTCATTACATAGAATGCATAAACGATGATCCCCATTCTGAATAGTCTATCCCGAGTAGGAAGCCGATCAAGGAGAATCATCCAAGAAATCATACTATGTTTAGGAATATGAAGAGGAAACCAAAGAATTTTCTGCCAAGGAACCTTGTCTCTATATTCCCTTATTTCTTCCCATATGTCTTTCGTTTTAGAGAGTCCAGAATAAATAATAGGGAGGGCCTCTTCACTAAGCTTAAGAAGCTTTCTGATGCTCCAGCTAAAGGAATTACTAACATTGATTTCACTTAAATCTCTGTTTTTAATTTAAAGTTTTTTAAAAAAGATTGAAAATTTAGGTATTAAAACGGGCCAAAACTGATAATTTAGATACTAAACGCGTTAAGTTTTTAACGGTGAGATACCAAAATAAAAAAAAAAAAACTAAATTTTAAGTATGGGTTTGAAAAAATTAAAATTTTAATACTAAAACAAACCAAAACTAATAGTTTATGTATTAAATGTGTAGTTTATCTTATAAATTAGTTAAGTTTATGTATAAGATATTTAATCAATTATACTTTACTGAGTGCACTTTGGATGAAGTGCAGAGCATGCATGCAGGTTGCTTGGCTTTACGGGCTGCTAATCCCATAGACAGAAACAATGATAATGTCAGCGACTGAATCTAGAGTTCTAGAATTTTGTAACGGAATGTGTATGGATACGTTTTTTTATATTTATTAATTTGATTTGAATTTAATTATTATTATTTTATTATTTTGAGTAACTATAATGTAGCATCTGTTCCAAGATAAACTCTCAAACTTTTAACATTGAATGCTCACAATCCTGACATATATGGTACTCGAATTAAAGTCCTGAAAAAATTATTTTGAGTTTATTTAATTCATACTCAATTATTTAAATAATGAGAGGAAACAAGAGGTTGATCAAACTTGATATATATGATTGCAACATTGTTACAAACATTAGTTTAAGATTGAATTATTCAAGTAAGTTATCCTGGAACAACCGCCTGAACCATAAGAAATGAATGCTCTCGGAGGGATGGAACGGGTCGAAGAACACATGGCTTTTTCTGTCGGAGCAAGGAACACTGCTCGGGAGGCACGTACGCGATTGATCCCCCGCTACATCGATGCAACACGAATCATTTATGTTCGTGAATCCTACATTCAGCGACGTAGGTATAGTTTCATATTGAAGATTAAATTTATTGAACTTTAACGGGAGGAAATAAATTATTGTTGGGCATGCATGCATTGCTTACCGTATGCTGCGGGCTGAGCAAGAACGTCTTCAAACAATTTGTACATGTCAAACAGCACGAATGTGGATCCTTTCAAGGACTTGTTGAGTTTTCTCAGAATCTTATGGAGGCGTCCATTGAATAAAGCTGCTCTTTCATTCATATCTTCCAAAAATGAAGTGTCGTTCGTTTTTTGGTGAAGATTTACAGGCTGACAGCCGAATGGAAATGCGTTGTTCACAACGAATTTCCTTGCTCCTAGCTCATACATAGCCTGCATGAGAATCAAACATCGATCTTCGGAACTTAATCGAGGAAATTTTAAGAGAGTGATTTACCTCTAATCGACTGTACAACTCGTTCGATAAGAGCCGAGTGTATTTCTTCACGGAAAAGAACTCTTCTTGTAACTTTCCGAATTCCCAGTACAAGGCAAGGTCATTGCCCCCTATATGGACGAAGAACAATGACCTAGACATGTAGGAATCGAAGCTTTCGAGGCTATGGAATTGACCCTTCAAGTTCGAAACTGTCTGATTGAACAATTGTATCTGTTCATCGAAGCTCAAAACATGTCCCTGATGGAGCATTCAAATGAAAACGTCAATTAAACATGTACAGAAAAGGTGAATCTTGATGCCAAATGGAACAGAAAACTCACAAATATCGGTGTTAGAGACGAAGGCAAAGGCAATATCCCACCAGAAGAGGAACCGTAATTTAAACCAGTAGTGATCTTCCTCTGGGATCCAGATAATCCCATAACAGGAGGAGGAAACGGCAAGCCAACAACTTGAGCTGCAGGTAAAAAGAAATTAGATTCAAAAACAAGCATGGAAACACAGAAGATGTATAGCTAGCCGCTTCGTACCGATGAAATCGACGACGGTTCTTCCGTTAGTGGGACGTCCGGTCGCGACGCCTCCGAAATCGATTCCGTAGGGTGCGTAGTTGGCTTTGGATGGTGTGTCCAGATAGTTGTTGTTACCGGCATCGATAAATGAATCTCCGAAGACATAAAGAGCTGGTAGATTGATTGAACGATAGTCTAAACCCAGATATCTGCAGATTTCAGCCTGTGGGATGTTGAATGGCGGTACTGGCAACGGTGGTAGACGCTTGGAATCAGTATGAAATGAACCCAGGGGAAGAAGAAACAGGGCAAGAAAACAAAGAGAAACATAATTCATTGTATCCTTGAAGCAGAGGAGAAGAAGATACTTGTAATGTAGGATTCTGTGTTGTGTTTCTCCATTGCATAACTCACGTTGTTTATATAGACGTTCCTAGAGACGATAACATCCGTGAAGGTAAAATACACTCCAGTTCACTTAATTATGCATTCGGTAATAAATCGTTCACTTTTTTTCTAAACATTATAATTTAGCCACTTAATAAAATATTATTACAAACATGTCACTAACTGTTAAATATTAGACAGATACAAGCATGACCTGATATAATAATAGTTTTAGTCTCCAACACTTATGCATTCTATTAATTTCGTCCTAATTCAAAATAATTTAATAAATTTAACACTTCATATTTGAAAATTCTATCAATTCAGTCTATGTTCTTCTCTTAGAAATGTTATATTACTTTTTTAGATTCATAATAGTTTACCAATAACTTGCTAACGTTTTATGGCGAAATGCATTTATTCAGCTCTTGTTTTAATTCAATGGATTCATTTGGTTTGACAATGCTAAAAAAGATTAAATTGATGAAATTTTTAAATATGAATGATTAAATTTATTAAATTATTTTGAATCATGGTCACATTGATAGAAATATATAAGTTCTGGGACTAAAAATGTTATTATACAAAGTAACATTAGACATTAGATTGAGTTTTAACGATTGATGACGTATTTATAATAATATTTTAATTAAATAAGTAATTTATATATTTTTTTAAATAACTCATTTATTATCAGACATATAATTAAATGACTCAAAATTTATTTTAGCCAAAAAAAAAAACGATATTAATAAAATTAAGTTACTAGTTTATTGAAAAATATATATTTTCACCTTAAAAAATTATCTTGTAACTCTCAAAATTATTAATAATGAATGCTTTATTTATTAAAAAAACAATTTAGCTTTGTAAGATTTTAAATTTTGTTGATAGAAAATAACCTAAATTTGTTAATAAATTGTCTACATTAAACATTCTAAAGCAAAACGGCAAGCCAAATACTTGGCATAAATACAAAACGGCAAGCCAAGTTGTCGTAACCGGTTTTCGTCCGGGCACGAAATATTAAATTTTGCGGGGAAGTTGATGTGAATAAATGGTTTTGAAAATAATTTGGGAGTCGCCATCGGCCTTTTGGGTTAGGTAGGTCGAATACCTAAAAATTATCTTTTAACAGAGTTTTTAAGAAAACATCAGTTAAAAGATGAACTGATCTGCGTTTATAACCAAAAATTCGTTCTTTTTAATAATAAAAAGGGATTCGTGGTCGGTTACGTTTAGGGAAGGATTAGCACCCCTATAACGCCCAAAATTGGTACTTTTTAATTATAAATTGTCTCTATTATTAAAATTTAAAAATTCAAAAATATATTTAATTTTTAATCTTATTATTTCAAAAATATATTTATTTATTTAAAAATATCAGAAAAGAACTTCTAGGTGCCTTAAGACAGCTCTTTTCTTTGATATTGATAAATATTAATTTAAATAATATTGTTTAATTTTAAATTTTAAAATATCAGAATAGGACATCCAGTTATATTAAGACTGTCCTTTTCTTCGATATTAAAAATAAATATTTAAAAGTTACTATTTATTATATATATTTATGAATATATATAAAAATATTTAACAATATAATAAAAGAAAATTCTATTAAAATAATATATTTAAAAACAATAAAATAAATTAAAACATATAAAATAAATGACTAAATTACAGTAGAACTAAAATTAAAAATCTAATTCATAATTAATCAAAACTATAGGGATTAAATATGTTATTTTTTTTATTTTTTTATTTAGTGACTAAAATAAAATTATCTAAAATTCATATATTAGAATAAAATAAATTAAAAATATGAACTAGGGATTAAAATATTATTTATTAAAATTAAGGGATTAAATCTGTAATTTATCCTAAATATATTATTTTAATATAAAGGACTAAAATAAAAGAAATTAAAATTCGAAAACTGAATTAAAAATATTATAAATTCAATTTAGTGACTAAAATGTAAAGTTTACAAGTTCAGAGGACTGCGGACGGGGTTTAACTATTTTATAATTACGCGCATAGTCCTTCCCGAAACGACGTCGTTCGGGAAGGACTATATATGGTCCCAAACCGGCTGGCCCGAAGGGCCAGCTTTCATTTCTCATTTCCCTCTCTCTCTCTAAACTGAGAGAGTTTTAAAACTCTCTCGCCTCTCTCTAGAAGCCGGTCACCGGAGGGAAGCCGGTCACTGGTCGGCCACCGTGTGCCGCCGTGATTATCACCGCCGGCCACCGCATCCGGTGGCCGGAAATTTTTTTTTTATATTAATAGATAGATCGGACCGTCCTAAGGACGGTTCCGGTATTGTTTCCTCCTAAAAAGCTCCCAATCGGAGCGAATCTACAAAAGTACCTTCGGTGTTTCGAAGGTTCCGGTGAGATCCGGTGACGGTTGGGGCTCTCCGATGACAGGGTAAGCTTTTTCCTCTCTTCTCTCTTTTTTTTCTTGCTGCGTTGATGCTGACTGAGATCGTTGGTTTAGTTGTTGTTGTTTTCCTTTCTCTGTTTTTTTTTCGTTCTCTGTCTCTGTCTCTGTCTCTCCCTTTTTTTTTTCGCAGATGGGGTGGTGGCTTTTATAGCCACCACCGTTGTAGCTGTCGGACCGGTCCGAAGAAGGGCTCTCGGTGAGTCACCGGACTACCAGTGGTGACTCACCCCGTAGCTATGGCGTGGACGGCTGGTGTTCTAGCTTCTGGATTCTTCGGTTGGGACGTGGCAGCGACGGAGGCGGTGAGGAAACTGTCGGCAGCCGCGTGGAAGCTGGGGCGGCGCCGCGTGGCCCTAAGGTATCAAACCCTAGGGTTTCCCTCTGGAGCCATCTGGACCGTTGGATCGTGCCAGATCCAACGGTTGTGATGAGGCGGCTGGTTTAGATTAGGGTTAGGAAACCCTAACTGGAAACCCAAATGTTTAGGGTTTCTGGTTTGATTTGGACCGGTTATGGTTGGTTTGTAACTGGGCCGGTCTAATTGTAATTGGTATGTAATTATTATTTATATATATATGTTTAATATATATTAATAATAATAATAATAATAATAATAATAATAATAATAATAGTAATAATAATAATAATAATAATAATAATACTAATAATAATAATATGGATAAAAAATTAATATCTTCAGCTGCCCCTCTTTGCTAACACAAGAATAGGGCAAAGATGAAAATATAATAAAATTTTTATCCATTTGGCTTCACTTGATTATAATGGAGATATTGAATAAATTCTTCTCTTTCTTCAGATGAGTTCTTCTCATTATGAACTTTCTGCTGGGGATGATGATCCATCAAATGATGAATTCAAGCAAAAGATTGAACAAGTTCTTCTCATTATGAACTTCTTCTTTCTTCTTCAGATGACGAGTTCTTCTCATTATGAACTCTACCTGCAATGTTGATCCATCAAATGATGAATTCAAGCAAAAGATTGAACAAGTTCTTCTCATTATGAACTTCTTCTTCCTTCTTCAGATGACGAGTTCTTCTCATTATGAACTCTACTTGGCAAAGATAATCCATCAACTTGATGAATTCAGGCAAAAGATTGAACAAGTTCTTCTCATTATGAACTTCTTCTTCCTTCTTCAGATGACGAGTTCTTCTCATTATGAACTCTACATGGCAAAGATAATCCATCAACTTGATGAATTCAGAAAAAAGGTTGAACAAGTTCTTCTCATTATGAACTTCTTCTTCCTTCTTCAGATGACGAGTTCTTCTCATTATGAACTCTACATGGCAAAGATAATCCATCAACTTGATGAATTCTGAAAAAAGGTTGAACAAGTTCTTCTCATTATGAACTTCTTCTTCCTTCTTCAGATGACGAGTTCTTCTCATTATGAACTCTACATGTCAAAGATAATCCATCAACTTGATGAATTCAGAAAAAAGGTTGAACAAGTTCTTCTCATTATGAACTTCTTCTTCCTTCTTCAGATAAGTTCTTCTCATTATGAACTTTCTCTGGAAAAGACTGATCCATCAAATGATGGATTCGGGTAAAAGATTGAACAAATTCTTCTCATTATGAACTTCTTCTTCCTTCTTCAAATGAGTTCTTCTCATTATGAACCTTCTCTGGAAAAGATAATCCATCAATTTGATGAATTCCGGTAAAAGGTTGAACAAATTCTTCTCATTATGAACTTCTTCTTCCTTCTTCAGATGAGTTCTTCTCATTATGAACCTTCTCCGGCAATGATAATCCATCAAGTGATGAATTCAAACAAAAGGTTGAACAAATTCTTCTCATTATGAATTTCTTCTTCCTTCTTCAGATGAGTTCTTCTCATTATGAACCTTCTCTGGCAATGATAATCCATCAAGTGATGAATTCAAACAAAAGGTTGAACAAATTCTTCTCATTATGAATTTCTTCTTCCTTCTTCAGATGAGTTCTTCTCATTATGAACCTTCTCTGGCAATGATGATCCATCAGATGATGGATTTGAACAAAAAGTTGAACAAGTTCTTCTCATTATGAACTTCTTCTTCCTTCTTCAGATGAGTTCTTCTCATTATGAACTCTCTCTGGAAATGTTGATCCATTGAATGATGGATTTGAATCTTTGCTAAAATCCTTGAAATTCCTGTCAGAATTCAACATGGATAAAATGAATGAAAATGCACCTATTTTTGCAAATGTCTAAATATGATGCATGAATGTTTATGCAATCTTCATTTGACTTCAAAGTGGTGAACTCGGTTTTCCTCCACTTCATCATTTATTGCCAGGTTCACCTCTGGATATCAGTGTAGCAACTTATGCTATCAAGCTTGAATTTCTGAAGAACCATATGATCAACTTGTATCTTTATGTCTTCTTTGCTTTATGAAAGTCTCAGAAGAATTGTTTCGTTTGTGGAACTCTTATAGTAATCAGAACTATGACCTTGATGCCCCATTTTGTCTTGGATAAAACCAATTTTCTTTGC